TTGCAGCTGTGGGCTGGGTGGAGTTGAATCTGTTAAACAGGTTAAGCTCATTAGCCCAGTTCTGGTCTCCTTCAGCAGACTCACTGACACCACTCCTCCCACTGTGGCCTGTGATGTTCCTGAGGCCTCCCCATCCACCACGAGCATTGTTCCGTCCTAGCTGTTTCTCCAGCTTCTTCCTGTAGCTGTCTTTAGCCCGTCTGATCATATTTGAGCTCCTTCTGGACCGGCTCTGCTCCTCTATCTCCAGCCATAAAAGCTTTTTTCTTTTAGTTCAGCAGGGATTTCAGCTCAGGGGTCAACCAGGGTTTATTATTTAAGAAACTTAGGGTTAGGGTTTGAAATTACATAAATTAACATAATCAGTGACATAGTGGGTCAGGTGGTCAAAGTCATCACCATGAGTGCTGCAGAGTGTATTCCAGTTTGTGGTTTGGAAACGGTCCCTCAGCCTTTCTGTTGCCTCCTCAGTCCACACTTTCACAGTTTCTTTCTACGGAGGCTCCCTAATTACCTCAGGTGTGTATTCAGGCTTCAGGTAGATGAGATAATGATCAGAGCGGCTGAGCGGAGGGAGGGGGTGAAAGTGTATGCATGTTTTTCATTAGCATACAGCAGATCAATTGTCCTATTGTCTCTGGAGTGGTACTTCACATACTGTGTAAAGCTGGGAGGGTGGAGGAGAGTGAGGCGTGATCAAAATCCCCGCTGATGAATGACTGGATGGAACCAGACTGGATTAAAAATTTTGAATTGGACCAGACAGAACTGGGCTGGATAGGGTAGGAAGGGGCCATGATGAGGCTTGCCTCTTGTTTGGATCTGTGAGTGCTGGTGGTAGCTGATAAACAGTGCACAAGTGACACTCCAAGTTGCATGACCACTTGCACTTCAGAGTCTCTTAAGAGGCTCAGACATCCTTTCAGGCTCCTGTGACAAGACACCAACAAGGAAGTGCTGGTGATGGGAGACGTCTGACACAAATTTAATCTCGGACACTCGGTGACAAAAACCTCAAAGTGAAACAAGATTTTGGTGATATACAACACAAATATGGCAAGGGGGAGCAAGGACACCAGGTCAGAGGTAAGTTGACATCAACTCCCTATCCAGAGATTGGGTGAAACAATGCTGAACAAGGCAGCAACTGACCTGAGAGATAGGATAACCCTTACACCAGCAACCATGACACCAACTACAACAGCTGACTGAAGTATCATAGAAAATCCTTGAAGAAGTGAATACAGCATTGAGAATGATTCCTACAACCACCTTCACTGAAACCAGTGAGCTGATATGCACTTCAGCAGCAGTGGCTCTTCAGATGCTTGGCTATCGGAGTATGCGCAACCATGAGTGACAATACGAGTATGAGCAACCATGAGTAACAATACGAGTATGTGCAACCATGAGTAACAATACGAGTATGAGCAACCATGAGTAACAATACGAGTATGAGCAACCATGAGTAACAATACGAGTATGAGCAACCATGAGTAACAATACGAGTATGAGCAACCATGAGTAACAATACGAGTATGAGCAACCATGAGTAACAATACGAGTATGAGCAACCGTGAGTAACAATACGAGTATGAGCAACCGTGAGTAACAATACGAGTATGAGCAACCGTGAGTAACAATATGAGTATGAGCAACCATGAGTAACAATACGAGTATGAGCAACCATGAGTAACAGTATGAGTATGAGCAACCATGAGTAACAATACGAGTATGTGCAACCATGAGTAACAATACGAGTATGTGCAACCACGAGTAACAATATGAGTATGTGCAACCATGAGTAACAATATGAGTATGAGCAACCATGAGTAACAATACGAGTATGTGCAACCATGAGTAACAATACGAGTAGATGCAACCATGAGTAACAATATGAGTATGAGCAACCATGAGTAACAATACGAGTATGAGCAACCATGAGTAACAATACGAGTATGTGCAACCATGAGTAACAATACGAGTATTTGCAACCATGAGTAACAATACGAGTATGTGCAACCATGAGTAACAATACGAGTATGAGCAACCATGAGTAACAATACGAGTATGAGCAACCATGAGTAACAATACGAGTATGAGCAACCATGAGTAACAATACGAGTATGAGCAACCATGAGTAACAATACGAGTATGAGCAACCATGAGTAACAATACGAGTATGAGCAACCATGAGTAACAATACGAGTATGAGCAACCATGAGTAACAATACGAGTATGAGCAACCATGAGTAACAATACGAGTATGAGCAACCATGAGTAACAATACGAGTATGTGCAACCATGAGTAACAATACGAGTATGAGCAACCATGAGTAACAATACGAGTATGAGCAACCATGAGTAACAATACGAGTATGAGCAACCATGAGTAACAATACGAGTATGAGCAACCATGAGTAACAATACGAGTATGTGCAACCATGAGTAACAATACGAGTATGTGCAACCATGAGTAACAATACGAGTATGAGCAACCATGAGTAACAATACGAGTATGTGCAACCATGAGTAACAATACGAGTATGAGCAACCATGAGTAACAATACGAGTATGTGCAACCATGAGTAACAATACGAGTATGAGCAACCATGAGTAACAATACGAGTATGAGCAACCATGAGTAACAATACGAGTATGCGCAACCATGAGTAACAATACCCACAATGGAAGAGAAGGTTGGAGGCCAAAATCAAAGCAGCACGGAGAGAAGTGAGCCAACTGTCAATGAGAAAAACAGTAGCCAAGAGCTACAGCTAGAGACCCATACCTGAAGCACTAGAAACTCACCCTTGACCAGCCATCTAAAGAGTCTACATGAGATGAACAAACAGCTCTTCTTGACCAAACCAGCTAAAGTGTACTGTGTAAAGGGTGATGACAAGAGAGCCTGAACAGTACTGGAAGAGCATTAGGGAGAAGGAGACATCACACAAGGACGATGCAAAGTGGCTAGGCTCTCTAAGAGACCACAGCAACCTCTCTGAGATGAACCCAGTATCTATCACTGTGGTAGAGATCCAAGACATCAAAGAAAGAGTCTAAGGTATGAAAAACTCGACAGCACCAGGGCCTGACAATATCCACGCCTACTGACTTTAGAAGCTCACGCACTCCATGAGCGCCTTGCAACACAAATGAACCAGCTGGATGGGACCTGAAGGACCCCTCAAAGGGTACAGTCCCTTCTAACTATCGGCCCTAGGTATCTGTCTCCCCACAACATGGTAGCTTATGTCAGGGATCATAGCGACTAGAAGAAAAATAGAAAGTAAAAGAGGAGGAAAAGAAGAGACTGTGCTCGAGGGTTATAAGAGAAAAAAGGGAAGTTCCTGTGGAATTAATGTTTTTTTTTTGCTCTGTAACTGTAATTAAGTAGCTGTGTGTCTGGGCCATGGTTGGGGATGGAGTGAGCTGACGCCAAACCAGATAGCACTACAGGTAGTGGGGGGACTGTAGCAACATCCGCCCTGACCGAGTTTCACTGGACCTTCTGTTGCATTTGTCTGGAGGTGATGCTTGTAAACACAGACCCTACTTGGAAGCTGTGTAAGTGGACTATTTTTGTATTTTGTGCTCAGTGGATTAAGCGGGTTGCATTCTTTTGATCCCACTGCTCCCGAGTAGGAACAGGCCAGCAACAAGGGGGTAATTTGTATACTTTTCTTTGACAAGAACCGTTAAACAGCGCAGAGTTTTGGGTTATTATTTAATATCACCAGCTGCTGTAGGTGTTTAAGTGGATCCACAATTTTAAATGTTGTTACGAGTGCACTGTAAAAACTACAGACTGAATGTAAAGAAGAAAAACTACAGGTGTGGCTGCAGCACATTTCCTGCATGTTTTAGACCACGAACCTAGCTGACTTGTTTCATTTAGTGATAAATCACTCTTACAGACACCTAGGACCACTGGGAGATTTTTCAGCTGTTAGATTAAGGTGTTAAAAGGATGAAGGCACACTAATGGACACTAGGGGGTGCTAAAAGCAAGCAAAACTGCCTTGAATCCCTTTAAAGTTCTCATTCACTTGTTATTTTTTAAATTTCCTATTAATTTGAAGTTGTCTCTAGTATGAATGAGTCATTTTCTGTGGGAAGTATAAGTAAGTTGGAGGAGAGAGAAGCAGGAGATATCAGGGTTTGGAATCTTATATATTATTTCCTGATATTCTGATATCTCGCCACTGATTGGCTAATAGCAACATGACTCTACTAGCCTGGCAAGCCATCCTGTATATGTGAATATAAGTCTGTCATGGTCTGCATCTTTCCTTATGTGTCTCCTTGTGTCCTCCACTCGTCTTTAGGTTCTCCTTTTGTGTCTTCTAGCGCCCTCATGTGCCATGTCTGCGTCTTCCTCATGTTCTCCTGGTGTTCCTCATTTGCCCCCAGATCTTCAGCCCTCTAGGTTTCCCTCCTCGGACACCCCCCCCCCCCCCCCCGGTCCTGTGCTCTCCCCCTCTTAGTCACGCCCCTGTAGTTTTTCTTTCTGTAGTGTTTTACTTTAGTTTTCAGCTTCCCCTTAGAATATTAGTTATGGTTCATGCCCTTCTGGTCTTTTGGGTTTTTTCTCTTAGGTCATTTTCTTCTAGTTACAGCCTTTCAGGATTTAGTATGTTTTTCCCACCCTCCCTTTGACTAGTAGTTATGTTTCCTGCTCTTTTTGTATTGAGGTTTTATTCTTTGGTCAAGTTAGTTCCTCCATGATTAAGTAATTGTGTTTCCCCTGGTCTCTCTCTACCCACACACCTGCACTTCATCTCCCTCTCATCCTCCCTGTGTATTTACCGTGAATCCTCTAATATTAGCCTGCATTTAATTAACTGCCGGGTATCATATTTTGGCCGGTGTCGGAGTCGGCGGAGGTGAATAATGGCCGGTCTCTTATTGTGGCCGGGTGGAATGTGGTAACAAGCAAGTACGGGGGGCGGTTGTGTCTTCGTCTCACTTTTGCTTTGCCAGTGATAGACCGCCAGGGTAACTTTAACCGTGCGGAGACGAAGAGGAGGCGAAGATTTGATATCAAGTTCAAAGAGAACGTGCTGATTAGGCTGCAGAACACTCTGGGGGGCAGTAGCAGGGGTTGTATGAACTAGTCGACTTCACTGCTCTATAGTGACTTGTTATGCCTGTCATCGACTAGTCGCTGTCACGTGATAATGACCGGCAAGATGCAGTCCTCGGAAAAGACAGCAGGTGACAAGCTCCTGCGCGTCGGGAGGCAACGCGCTGTGCCAGAGCGTCGGTACTGACACCCGCCGTAAAACGGACATTTAACCAAATTGTGACCTTTACCCTCTTGCAATTTAACCTTCCCCTCACCTCCATCCTAACCTTAACCAGCTTGCTAATTCTGGTCCTCCCTCCAATAAAGGCCTGGAGCTTGATGAGCTTGAGTAAAATACAGGCCCAGGCCTGTATTAGAGGATTTACGGTATACCGTGTCTTTGTCTCTGTCGTGTTGTTGGTCCATTGTTTGTTGTCAGCGTTGTTTTGTTCCTTGTCACTGGGTCTTTAGGTTTGTGCTCTTTAAGTGAGCTCTGTCTCCAGGTGTCCAGGACGTTGTTTTTGACTTCCAGCCCTTTTTGGATTTTTTGTTCCCCTTCCTAATAAAGGAATGATTTCATTTACATCCACTCCTGCCTCGTGTCGTTCTGGGTGTCTGCATATTGGATCCACACCTCCTCCTAACTCGCAACGTGACAAAGTCGGAACACCCCTTCCCCACCCCTAGCTGGAGAAACACACCATGAACGATGTAACTTTACCGAGGGACATGGTTGATGAGAGCTTGAGGTCTATATTGAGGAAAGAGGTAGGATCTGAACTCCTCATTACTGCTCACACCAGGCCAAGTTTCCTCTGTTGGAGTGCCTGCAGAACAAAGAAAGGGAAAATTAAAATTGTTTTCATTCGATTGTTCCTGAAGCTCAGTTATTCTAAATTCATCTGGGAAACGTGATGCTCGTAACACATTTTACACATTTGTGCCTTCAATGAACTTTCATGGCTTCAAAAAGCTTTTGGAAAGATAATGTGACACCATTATTTTGTGAAGTAGTGGGGCAGTTTTTGACTAAAAACCTTCGCATTTTTCAGGAAGCTGTGTCCAGATCGGTCATGGAGGAGTTGCAACCATTCGTCTTTTGTGTTGAGATGTTTGAAACAGCTCCATCATCTCACTTCCACCTTCAGCTGATGGTCAGTGACGTATTAAACCCAGAGAAATAATATTCTCACTGTAAAAAATGAGGTTGACGTGATCATGATGCTGCCATGCTTTACATGGTTGGTTTAAAGCTGAGGTCCGTAGTGTGACATCTTCAAGAAGAGGAGGAGGATTTGAATGGCTATAGCTTCTGCCCCTGCCCTTCTGGAAGCCATGGCTCATGAAGAACATGCGCTGAGTCAACAGAGGGAGCCAAACAAACGCCCCATGTAGCAGAAGGTTGAATGCTACACTCATCATGTTGCTCTAATTCACAAAACATGAATCCCTTTTCTGTCTCTCCCTCCTCTTCCACAGCTGGCTTGAAGTATTTTTTGTTTCCACAAGACAAAGTGAAGAAGGGTGTGTGTGTGTGTGTGTGTGTGTGTGTGTGTGTGTGTGTGTGTGTAAATGAATGATATACAAATAAGTAAAGAAAAAAATAGTAGACTCATATTGTTTTGAATGCAACGGGAGGAATAACAAATAAATACATCAAAAGGTTTATGAATCTAATAAATCAAATGATCATTTGAAAGAAGGCAAAATAAACATTAAGAAAAAGGTAATAATGATAGCTAACCTGATAACATTGTAGTGATGTAACATTTGAAAGAGTGGGAGAGAAAGAAAGAAAAAAGCAAGAGAAACTAATTAATGAATAAATGACCAAAGGCAGATGTTATGCTTACAAGCTTTGTATGTAAGAACGTGATGTCTGAGGACCAGAATGTGTTTATTGTGTTTGGTTCACACTGATTCTGTATGGAAATGTAATCTGAGTAGGTTCTTCCATGTGGTAATGTGTGCGTTTGCCCTTGATTTCCAGTTAAGAACTACTTTCTTGGCAATAGTCAGCGACTCCAAGAGATGATTGTTATTGATTTTGTTGAGGTGAAGTGAAGAAGTGTCGCCTAGTAGACAGAGAAGTGTTGACATTGGGATGTGGTCTAGAGAAATAATGTAGAGAGCAACTGAGTGACTGTTTCCCAGAATACTTGAAATGGTGTGCACTGCCAAAGTGCATGAATGTAGCTGTCCTCATTTCCTTGTGCACAGTGTGGACACGTGTCTGAACTAGATCCCATTTTTGATCATTTCTTACCTGTATAGTGATTTCTATGTAAAAATTTAAATTGTATGAGTCGTGTCATTGCGTCTGTCTTCAATTAGGCCATTACTTTCCTAGAAGGATCTGGTGACTGTCACAAATGCTTTTGTTATGTAGCAAGTTAGGGTTGTCACGGTAACCGGTGTAGCGGTAAACCCCGGTAAAAAAGTTGACAATAATAATAACCGTCTTGTTTAAAAAAAACTATATCATCTCAGTGGATTACCGTGGCTGCGGCGTAGGCGCGGTGACCCTTACCAGCCACCGTATCATCGGCTGAAGTTGCCGGCGGCACATGCGCACTTTGTTGTTTACAACCAAAACTTTCTTGAAGCTAAAGCTGAAATAATGGCCAAAGGAGGAGACGGCAGCACTCAGGACATTTATTATCCCTCAAAGAAGACAAAGTGGGAAGTACGGGCATCTTCTGGATGTTTGAAGAATGCCGAGGGACAGCTGATAGAAGACGGCTATCCTGTTTGCAGCACGAGCAGAAAAAGTGTCTGTGAAAGGCAGCAACGCTTCAAATCTCATGACACATCTGTGTGACCATCACCCACAACTCTACAGTCAACGCAAGGCAAGCTAACGTTAGCGTTTTAGCTAAAATGCGTGATCCGAGGATTTGGGTTGAGGGAGAATGCAACGAGTCGCTATATAAAGCAGCCGCAGCGCCGCTACCTGCATATAAACCGTGTCGCGGACACCGCCATGTTGAAATGACGCTATGCATTACGGGGCTCCCAGGGGCAGATAAGAGTTGGTCTCTCTCCGAGAATAATTATGAATTTAACAACGATTACTGCCTGATGACATTTTCCCACATCTGCAAAGCTCACTGGAAGGACACAAACCGAGGACGATATTTTCCTGATATAGGGTTTATTACTCAAGTAAGGGTAAAAAAGTATCTGATTAGAAGGCTACTTGAGTACCGAGTATCATCTGGTCTAATACTTTTAAAATGATGACATCAAACAGACATAAAATAAGAAGTTATGGGCAAATATTGGTATTTTAAAAACTAAAGGGAAAAAATGTAAACAAATAAACAACATAATTACAAAATAACACATTTTAGGCAAAATTTAGACACAAACTGAGGACAATATTTCCTGATATGCAGGGTTTATTTAATTGTGTGAAAATGTAGCACGTTTAAAAAAAAATACCGCGATAATACCGAAAACCGTGGTAATTTTGGTCACAATAACCGTGAGGTTACATTTTCACTCCGTGACAACCCTAGTAGCAAGTTGACTATCTGTAATGCCCTGTATGCTGGACTGGGTCAGTCCACACTGTCACGGCTGCAATTAGTGCCAGATTTAATTGTGGCATCAAAAAATTAGGGCACATAACCGTGGCGTCCAAAACAGGATCTACATAGAAGAAACAAAGAAAGAAAGAAAACAACATTTTATATAGCGCCTCTCAAGATAAAAATCACAAGGTGCTTCACAAAAAAATACATAAAAATTAGAATATAAAAAAATTTTACAAAATTTTTGAAAATATGTTTAAAATGAGAAAAAAATTGTGATAAAAAAGTAAGGAAAGAGAAATGAATAGGAAAGAGGGAAGTCAGTAGATCCTGTAAAAGGCGGAATAAGAGCAGAATAAGGAAAGGGTGGTGACGAAGGGCATGCAAAAGCCAGCCTGAACAGGTGAGTTTAAAGGAGACCACTGAGTCCACTGATCCCAGGCTCAGGGGGAGAGAGGTCCAGAGTCTGGGGGCCACAGCAGCAGATGATCTGTCACCTTTGACCTTTAGCCTGGTGATGCACAACCAGTAGGCTTTGATCAATGGACCTCAGGGACCTGCTGGGGGTGTAGGGACTAAGAAGATCACCAATGTAAGATGGTGCTTGTCCATGGAGGGAGGGAAGAGCTCGACTGAATTCATAATTTTACATCTTGACATTAGCTGTACAATGTCTGAGTTTGATAACGTGAAGAACAACAATTTGCAGAGGTTTATAACAGGCGCGGCGCCAGGTTTTCATTTTTGGGTGGGCCACGGTAATTCTGGATGGACCTTAATAAGTGAAGCAGGCAGGTCGCGCTAGAAAATTTAGTTTAAAAAGACGTCATAAATTTTTTCCCTGTCATTTTTATTTATAAAATATGAAGTAAAAACTCCCAGTTTAATTTTCATTCATTTTTCATTTATAGGCACCAGAATGCATTACTTGCACTTCTAATATTCACCTTTCATAAGGGTACATGCACACCGGTAGTTTTTACGGTTATTCATGAGGCAAAATCTCCACATTTTTGAAAAAAAATCCATCTTCCAGTAAAAGCAAAACATCCAGCCCACCTCTCCAAATGCGTAAAATGTGCATCAGCCGCTAGTTAGGCGCGCCGCGCGCACCGTCAGCTACGTCAGCCCAGGCAAGAGCAGAGCAACTAGAGAAAGAATAGAGGATAATTGTGTCTGGATGTGGATGGAGATTACATTTTACATCAGTGTGTGTGTGTGTGTGTGTGTGTTTTCCACTTCAAACACTGGTCTAACCAACCAGACCAGCGTGTCCAGTAACACATTAATGATACAATTAAACAGTTTCACTTCATGTAGGCTAGGAACGTTCCACCTGCCGTGGCCCGACCGCTTCTGCTCCACATAAACTTTGTGCGTGATCAAATGTCTCTACAGGAGCTTTCTGAGCTGGAGAGACTATTCTGCCTCAGACTGGATGCGTCATGCGTCTCCATATTAGAGACGGGAACAAGCGCTGTTCAGCCAAAGTTTCATAATTTCATAAAAAGAACATTTTTCCAAGCTCATCCATGCGCATCAGTGTGCGTCGGGGTAATTCTTTCAAAACAACCAACATCCTTGAGTTTATCCATCAAAATACAGTCAAATGGAAATATCTGTAACCTGCCATTTAACTGTTTTGCCTTCCTGTGAAGATTGTTGCAAAGAGAAACAACTAAACCTGATTAACCCCAGAGCCACGCGTACTGCGCTGTACTGACTGTAAATGAGGGGAAACGATTTAATCGGATCCTTTTCTCTTCAACGTGGTTTCATGTAAAGTTTCATTCAGTACAAACTTTAGTTACACCGATCTAACGAGACAGAGCCTGGATTTGTATTCTGAACATTTTAAACATGTTTAAAACGGAGACATGCGTGACGCGTCTAAAATTCACACCTGCTCCGCTATTATGGAAATTAAACTAACAAGGTGAATAACATGAACTTATTTTAGGCACAGACAACATCTCCCACACTTTTGAAAAGCTTGCAACGCGCCTGGTGTGACGCACGCCACTCGGCGCTGATTAGGGACAGAGATACTCAATGTGGGACAACGTGAAGTTCCGATGTAAGGAGAAAAAAACAAACCAAAGGTATATTCTGCCTTTTAGCCCTGACATCACTGTTACATACACACAAAAAGACTGTTCTTATCATCATATATTTCTTGTATATATGTTATTTGGATTCAACATGAAGAAGCAAACAGCAACAGCTTTACTATTCCACACTTCCTCTCACGTTACACAACACGACTCTGTGGTGGCTCGGATCATTTTAAT